CGAACGAACGAACGAACGAAACGAACGAACGAACAAATAACGAAAAGAACGAACAACGAAAAACGAACGAACGAACTAACGAACGAACGAACGAACGAACGAAACGAACGAACGAACGAACGAACGAACGAACGAAGAACGAACGAACGAACGAACGAACTAACGAACGAACGAACGAACGAACGAACGAACGAACGAACTAACGAACGAACGAACTAACGACGAACGAAAAACGAACGAACGAACGAACGAACGACTAACGAAAACGAACGAACTAACTAACGAAAGAACGAAAAAACTAACTAAAAAAAAACAACTAACTGATTTTAAATAGGAAACTCGAAAGCATGTTTAACAGAATTTTGAAAGATATGGATCTCAGAGATATGTGGGCTCTTCAGAAAACTGATTTCAACAGACACATAGATGGGCATGGCTAACTAACTAACTAACCAACCAACCAACCAACCAACCAACTAACTAACTAACTAACTAACTAACTAACGACTAACTAACTAACTAACTACCTAACTAACGAACTAACGAACTAACTAACTAACTAACTAACGAACTACTAACTAACTAACTAACTAACTAACAACTAACTAACTAACTAACTAACTAACTAACTAACTAACTAACTAACTAACTAACTAACTAACTAACTAACTACCTAACTAACTAACTAACCAACTAACTAACTAACTAACCAACAAACTAACTAACTAACGAACTAAACTGATTTTAATAGGAAACTTCTCGAAAGCATGTTTAACAGAATTTTTGAAGATATGGATCTCAGAGATATGTGGGCTCTTCAGAAAACTGATTTCAACAGACACATAGATGGGCATGGCTTAATCATCTCCGCTATCTATAAGGATCCAAACTTTAACAAACAAACGAAGTATAATGAAAAAATATTTTTTTTCTTTGGGACTTCTTTTAAATTCCTTGAACGCCAGCTTGATTTGCCAATTTGCTATAACTTCGTGTAAAAAAATCGATGTCCTACGAGTTTGATGAAATTTGCACCAAGGTTAGTACTATTTTTTTTAATTTTCAGCTCTATCGGTCAAGAACTTAGAGGGGGTCAAAATAGGACATTTTGCTCATACAGGGTTTTAATCAAATGAGTGTAAATTTTCACCGAGCAAAAATTGTCCAAAGGAGTTCAAATAACAAAATGGGCCTTTTTGGCTCAAAAGAAAGCTTATATAATTTCCTTTAACGGCTTTTTAGTCTCATAATGGGATGCTAGTGGGATATCTTTTAAAAAAATAATTTTTTAACTTAAGAATAAGATTTTTTTTAACTATTTGGCACTTCATTTTCCCCTACTTTTTCAAAATGGACGTTTTTGTTGTATATTTTTTACTCAAAAGAAAGCTTAGACCATTTCCTTTAAGTGCTTTATGGTCACGTAGTGGAATCTATATCTATAAAAAAAATATTTTTTAACTTAAGAATATGATTTTTTTAACTATTTGGCACTTTATTTTTATTTTTTCAAAATGAACGTTTTTGTTGTATTTTCTTACTCAAAATGAAGCTTAGACCATTTCCTTTAAGTGCTTTATGGTCACTTAGTGGGATGCGAGTGGGATATCTATAAAAATTATTTGAACTCAAAAAGCAAACGACCTCTAATTACTAAGTAATGTATGAAATAACTACATTACTTAGTTTAATCATTACCAAAATTTGAAAAACAATTGGAATTTCATCTAGTTTAAGTAGATGTCAAATAATAATACAAAAACTTCAATTTTGACCCTTTTTATATTAATGACGATCTTCTTTAAAATATAGGACAAAATGCTGTGACGTTATTTTTTTAAATAACTCTAATAAAGAACAAACTTCAACTTTAGACAAATTTAATTATAACCATAATTAGCATCAAAATGTTCATTGATGGAACACAAGTTAGGATAAGTTGGATTATTGCCAGTTGAGCACTTTTTAGCTGCTCTATCACATTTTACATAAATAGGGAAATTTCGCAGATTACCGGAAGCATAGTTGCAAGCTACCAAGAAAGCTTTATAACGACTTCCAGAAATAGAAAATGTCGCAGCCGAACAGCCTACATGTGTGTTACGATCAGTCATCATAGCAGTGAAATGACCAATTGAACTGAAATATTTAAGAAAAATTTTAAATATATATTCATATATAAAATTCCTTATACAACTTACTACAATTGGTCAATGGGGAATGAATCAATATATTCTTGTTTAGAATTAGCCACTTCAGCGTACCACAACTCAATAGATTTATTAAATCCTGCTACGTTATTAACAGGTTCCAAATAATGGATCCAGGCTAGATTTTGTCCAGCAAAATGAAAGTGTTCAGTATTGCGACAGGAGTCATGTTTCATGGCACATTGTTTCACATTTAAACTGGCGAAGTAAGCTAATTCATCATCCCATTGCATAGTGGCCATGCGACAAGCGGGTTTGTGATTAATATCATCACCTCCAGCAATGAAATTACGTTTCGCATTGTGACCATCAACGACCAATTGTTTCAAAGAATCAGTCATGATTACCATGGCAGCATCGGAGGGGCAATTAGAAGCGAATTGCTATAAAATCCTAATATTGATATATTCGACTATTTATTAATATATTTTAAAATAAAAGCTTACTCCAGTGTGTCCACAGGCTAGATGTGGACGTTTGTAGCAAAGTTTTTTTGAACAGTAATCGTTAGCCGATGTTGCAACAAGAATAGCTGCAAGTGCAAAAACTATTAGGATCTGTCTCATGTTTAGTGGCGTTGGAAATTGAAATTTACTACAATAAAATTACAAAAACACTTTATTTTTATACTAGGTCTTGATTTCTGAGCTGTGGGCTAATATTTTAACAGCTGAAAAGAGGTCTATAATTTTAATTAGTCTTATTTTTTGAAGATATTGTTATCTAAGATAATTTGACGCAAACTAGGATAAATATCAATATGTCAATTTAATTAAAACTTTATTAATTATTAATTTATAGAATTTACATCAGCTGATAAAGTCTGTTCTAAAACTTTCACTCTTAATATTATCCATAATCATCCCCCAGTTTAAACTTTGCCCACAGATCTTATATACTACACTAGCATACCCTGGGTGCTTCGCTACCCTAACTTAAAAACAACAAAATTTTGTTTACTTTTATAGAAAATTAAAATTGATTAAACATTTTTTTAATGTTTCAGTTTTATACGTTCCATATCACGTGATTAAATTTGCATTCAGTAAGAAGCTTGTATTTTAAGTTTCATTCATTTAGCTTCCACATTATAGAAAATTTCGAAAGTACTATTTGAAAAAAAAAGTACTATAAAATACCACTAATAGATTATCATTTAATCAAAAATTGTATGTTTCTGTGTTCAATATTATAGACAATTCAAAAACTATAATTTGATGAATGAAAAAGTACCAAAAGTCCCTTTCAGTAGATTCTCATTCACTAAGGTCCCTACTTTTTAAATTTTATTTTCAATATCTATGTTCAATATCGTAAAAATAAAAAAAAAGTACAAAAATCTCTCTCAATAAATTCTCATTTAATAAGGACCGTGTGTTCCGGCTAACCATTATAAAGAATCTAAAAGGTACCATTTGAAGAATAGAAAAGTACTAAATAGTTCCCACTTACAGAATATTATTCAGTCAAGACCATGTATGTTAAAATTAATGTTCTAAGTTTGAATATTTTAGAAAATTTAAAAAGTACCATTTATGAGATAAAAAGTACTAAAAAGTTCTCTCTAAAAGAAATTATTTTCAATGAAGACCGTGTATGTTTAATAATCATGTGTTTTGAATTCATATTAAAGAACATATAAAGAGTACCATTTGAAGAAAGAAAAAGTACCAAAAGTGGAATAAATTTTACCTAAGTGGAAAGTACTAATAAAGAATACAATTTTTCCCCTTTTCGCTTAGAAATATACTTTTTCGAGAATTAAGTTTACAAAATGATCCATATTTAAATCTATATATCACAGATAAAACTCATACGATTCAAATCTGCACTCATTTGTTCCAGAAAAATAGTGCTTTCAAAAGGTACTAAACAATTTACTCGAATTTGGTCCTATATAGGCCTTAGTACTCGAATTCCAAAATAATATACCAACAACCTATTTTTTGTGAGTAAAAAACTTATTTTTCAAATTTTATAAAAATTGGCTCGCTCAATTAGTTTGAATTAAATTAAATTTCCAGTTTTTCCAATTTTTGATACTTTTTTCGCCAGTGAAATAGCAAAAATTTTATTACAATAAATATTACAGAGTTAGTCCGTAATTTAATAGGAATAATTCAATAAATCGAAAAAGTTTTCTTAATGTGCTAAAAAAAAAGTACCATAAATACAAGTTTCTCCCTTTTACACCCAAAAAGGACTAAATTTTAAAAAAGTACGAAACAGGTGTCTCATAATTTTGGGAGATGTATCCAAAATATTTATAAAAATTTTATTATGTTAATTAGTTCAAAAGTTATAAAGGGCCAAAAAAGGTACCAAAATCACCTTTGTTACACATGTTTACCTCTTAAAAGTACGAATTTCAAAAAAGTACCAGACACCCATCTGCTTATTTTAAGAGTAGATACAGGTGAATTTAAAATTTTTCTTGTATCACTAATATTGTGTAAGATAATTAAGAAAACCTGTTTTACCCGTTTTCCCCTTTTTACCCGTAAATGTACAAATATCCAAAAATTTCTCCTTAGTGAATCTACATAACTAAAAACACATCTACTGTCAAAATTTCATGATTCTAGGTTCAGCCGTTTGGGCTGTGCGATAATGAATCAGTCACTCAGTAACGCTAATCTTTTATATATATAGATTAAAATGTTTTGTAACTTAAGACAATATTTGAGATTAATTAAAATGATAATGACATTAATGATCATTAACTAGAAAAACAGTTGCATATCTAACAAAAACAAAAATTTGCAAACTACTTTACTATAAAATGTGCAATTGATCTTGAAATAATCATCAGTTTGACTTAAATAAATCAAACTGTAATAACTAACTTAAAACCATGAATAGTTTTATCATATTTTTCTATTTTGTGGCCATTATCATAGCTCTGGTATCTGGCACCGACTACTGTTCCAGCACACTTTGCGGTAAAGGTGATAAACATATTGCCTGTGACAATGATGGAGTAAGTTCTCATAATATTAATAATTTGATTAAAATATTTTCAATAATTCATTTAACTTAAAGAAATTTGCTGATTCCTGCTCTGATGCTAAAATGGTAACGCTCACCGATTCATTAAAACAAGTATTAGTTGATGCCCACAATGCTAAACGTAACTTTATTGCCGGTGGCGGTGATCCCAATCACGATCCTGCTTGTCGCATGGCCACCATGCAATGGGATGATGAATTGGCTGCCATAGCTGCATACAATGTTAAACAGTGTAAAATGCAACATGATAAATGTCGCAATACTGATGCCTTCAAATATTCTGGTCAAAATCTTGTCTGGGTTAGCTATTACGATTATCCCAATGATGCTGAGAGATTAAAACTATACGTTGATATCTGGTTTTCAGAAGTAAAGAACAGTAATCGTACAATCATGGCGTCGTATCCTATAGGTTATAAGGGACCGTAAGTCTTTAAAAATTATTGTAATCTTTTGCAAACTTTCTTAACGATTTGTATTGAAAATCTAGTATGATTGGTCACTTTACTGTTATGATGGCTGATCGTAATATTCGTCTGGGTTGTGCTGCTTCTACTTATGCTGTAACTGGTGTGTCTTATAAGGTTTACTTACTTGCCTGTAACTATGCTACCACCAATGTTTTGGGATTCCCTATCTATGTTAGTAGCAAGAAACCTGGTGAATGTTGCGCTACTGGTCACAATCCCAAATATCCCAATTTATGTTCCGTTTCAGAGGAGTATTCCGTTAATAAATTTTACTAGTAAATACAAGATAATTATATGTATATATATATACTGAAATGGATTTTACAAAATTTGTAAATTCCAAAAAATAAATAATATTCTGCAATAATATTTATAGAATTTATTGGAAACTTTCCATGAAATTCTCAAGACCCTATAGTATGGAATATAAAATGGCTATAGAATGACAACGAAAGTCTCCACTACAGATTTACAGATTAACTGTAGTCTGCATCAAAAAATAACTAAAGTCTGGACTATAGACTGACTAGAGTCTGGACTATAGATTAACTATAGTCTGGACTATAGATTACTGTAGTCTGGACAATAGATTAACTATAGACTGGACTACAGATTAACTACAAATTAACTATAGTACGGACTATAGATTAACTATAGTCTGGACTGTAGACTAAATAACTATAGTCTGGGCAATAGACTAACTGTAGTCTGGACTATAGACTAACTGTAGTCTGGACTATAGACTAACTACAGTCTGGACTATAGACTAACTATAGTTTGGACTAAAGACTAACTATAGTCTGGACTATATACTAACTAGAGTAAGGACTATAGACTAATTATAGTAAGTACTATAGACTAACTATAGTCTGGACTATATACTAACTATAGTCTTGACTATAGACTAACTATAGTAAGGGCTATAGACTAACTATAGTCTGGACTATAGACTAACTATAGTAAGGGCTATAGACTAACTATAGTCTGGACTATATATTAACTATAGTCTGGACTATACACTAACTATAGTCTGGACTATAGACTAAATATAATTTGGACTATAGCCTAACTATAGTCTGGACTCTAGACTTACTATAGTCTGGACTATAGACTAACTATAGTGCGGACTAAAGACTAACTATAGTCTGGACTATAGATTAACTACAGTCTGGACTATAGACTAACTATAGTTTGGACTAAAGACTAATTATAGTAAGTACTATAGACTAACTATAGTCTGGACTATATACTAACTATAGTAAGGGCTATAGACTAACTATAGTAAGGGCTATAGACTAACTATAGTCTGGACTATATATTAACTATAGTCTGGACTATACACTAACTATTGTCTGGACTATAGACTAAATATAATTTGGACTATAGCGTAACTATAGTCTGGTCTCTAGACTTACTATAGTCTGAACTATAGACTAACTATAGTGTGGACTATAGACTAACTATAGTCTGGACTATAGACTAACTATAGTCAGGACTATAGACTAACTATAGTCAGGACTACAGACTAACTATAGTCTGGACTATAGACTAACTATAATCTGGACTATAGACTAACTATAGTCTGGACTAAAGACTAACTATAGTCTGGACTATATACTAACTATAGTCTGGACTATAGACTAACTATAGTCTGGACTATAGACTAACTATAGTGTGGACTATAGACTAACTATAGTCTGGACTATAGACAAACTATAGTCTGGACTATAGACTAACTATAGTCTGGACTATATACTAACTATAGTCTGAACTATAGGCCAACTATAGTCTGAACTATAGACTAACTATAGTGTGGACTATAGACTAACTGTAGTTTCCCTCTTAATGTTTAAAATTAAAAATTCCCTCAAAAATTTCAAATATAGAAAATTTAGCAAAAATTTTCTCAAATTAGAAAAAGGGAACATTTTTTAACACAAAATATGCAATTTATTTAAAAAATATATATAACACAATTAAAAGAAATCTTTAAAATTACAGGCAACAATAGATTAAAAACGTAATAACAATTCTTTAAATGTCCAATAAAGGAAACATAACAAATAAATTCAAAAAAATTTCGATCTACTGAAACTTATTGACATCATAAGATTCCGAAGTGGAACATAAATTTTCATATGATGAATTAGTGCCAGATTCACAATCATCAGCTGCCTTATCGCAACTTTCATAAATGGAAAAACCAACCATATTAGTAGAAGCATAGTTACAGGCCAACAAATAGTTCTTATGAGAGTCCTTAGAATAAGTAGCAGCAGCACAACCTACACGAATGTTACGATCAACCATCATAACGGTAAAATGACCAATATCACTAAAACAAAATAAAATATTTAAAAACCCACTTAATATGTAAATTATCCGCCAACTTACGGTCCAGAATAATCACTAGGATATTCATCAAGAATCGACTGATCAACATCCTTCTTTTCCTCAAACCACAAATCAATTGATTTCGTTATTTGTTCAGTATCATTTTTACTATCCGAAAAGCCTATGGAACCAAGATTTTGTCCAGAATATTTGAAATCTTCAGTATTGTGACAATCATCATGATTCATTTTACACTGCATAACATTATATTCAGCTAACTTGGCCAATTCATCATCCCATTCAATGGTGGCCATGCGACAGGCAGGTTTAAAATCATCATCACCACCAGCTATAGTATTACGTTTTTTATTATGCTCATCGACAATAAGTTCTTTCAGAGAACTAGTCATCTCAACCATTTCAGCATCATCCGGGCAAGAGGAAGAAAATTCCTAAACAAACCATTAGAAAATCTTTACCTAGAAATAATAACAAAAACTTACTCCATCATGATCACAAGCAATATGAGCTCCCTCTTTTCCATCACAAATAGAGTCCGAGCAATAATCCGTAGCCTTGGCTAAGTCGAATAAAACCGCAATACAACAAATTGCTAGGAATTTATTCATTTTTTAGATTTTTAATTAAGAAAACTTGTTTAAGTTTGAATATGTAAAATTTAACTGATATAGTTTAACAAAAATACGCAAGTATATATAGTAAAATATAATTATGTTTTAATTTTTACAATTTGTAATTAAATAAATATTATGTATTTTCTTAATAAATTTAAAAATATTCCATATATTTTCATTTCTGTTGTTGTTATTCAGTATTTCTCAAAAATTATTTAACAGATGTTTTTGAAACACCATCAACGCCATTGCTTTCAACTAGATTCATTACTGGAAAACTTTTTTAAAAAGTTTATGTACAATTGTAAAAAAATATTTACAAGCTTTTATGCTTAAAACAAAATCGGAACTTATTTATTAATAATATTTCCTACTTAATACTCCAGCAAAAGAAGAACTTCCAAAGAAGGGAAAAAGAAGTATAATTCACTTCTGAAGAAGTGATGAACAAAATCGGAAATTATTTATTAATCAAAATATTAATAAAAATATTTACAAGCTTTTATGCTTAAAACAAAATCGGAAATTATTTATTAATAATACTTAATACTCCAGCAAAAAAAGAACTTCCAAAGAAGCGAAAAAGAAGTATAGTTCACTTCTGAAGAAGTGATGAACAAAATCGAAAATTATTTAATACTTAATACTTAATACTTAACACTTAATACTTAATACTTAATACTTAATACTTAATACTTAATACTTAATACTTAATACTTAATACTTAATACTTAATACTTAATACTTAATACTTAATACTTAATACTTAATACTTAATACTTAATACTTAATACTTAATACTTAATACTAATACTTAATACTTAATACTTAATACTTAATACTTAATACTTAATACTTAATACTTAATACTTAATACTTAATACTTAATACTTAATACTTAATACTTAATACTTAATACTTAATACTTAATACTTAATACTTAATACTTAATACTTAATACTTAATACTTAATACTTAATACTTAATACTTAATACTTAATACTTAATACTTAATACTTAATACTTAATACTTAATACTTAATACTTAATACTTAATACTTAATACTTAATACTTAATACTTAATACTTAATACTTAATACTTAATACTTAATACTTAATACTTAATACTTAATACTTAATACTTAATACTTAATACTTAATACTTAATACTTAATACTTAATACTTAATACTTAATACTTAATACTTAATACTTAATACTTAATACTTAATACTTAATACTTAATACTTAATACTTAATACTTAATATTTAATACTTAATACTTAATACATTAGCATATTTTGGTTTTCATGATGATTCGAATTGTTATAAAACTTATTTACATTGAATTTTATCTAAATACTAAATTTTATCTAAATGGCCTATTATAGTCTTAACTATAGCATCGCCTAAAGTGTGTGCTATAGTCTTGACTATATTTTTCTCTTTATACTGGCCTAGAGTCTTGACAATATGCTTGACTATAAACTGGCCTATAATCTTGACTATAGTCTTGACTATAATTTGGTCTATAGTCTGGATTATAGTATTGACTATAGTCTGCCGTATAGTCGACTATAGTCTGGCCTATAGTCTTGACGACTTCAGTCAGTTATGAACGGTATTCCAACATTATTTTAGCGAATAGTAATAGGGGACTGTATATCAAATTTGAGTTTAAAATAGCGATCAGTAGTTTGATTGCAGATGGACATGCGTCAGTCGACTTAGAAAATGGTTCTAATGTTATTTTTTAATTTGTTTCAAAAAGAAAAATAAAAACAAATGACATTTTACAAACAACTTTAATTAAAAAAATAATTTTACACAAAATTAATTATAACCATAATTAGCATCAAAATGTTCATTGACGGAACACAAGTTAGGATAAGATGGATTATTGCCAGTTGAACATTCTTTAGCAGGTCTATCACATTTAACATATATAGGGACATTTGGCAGATTACCAGAAGCATAGTTGCAAGCCACCAAGAATGTTTTGAAAATACTTTCAGAAGAAGTATAATATGTGGTGGCTGCGCATCCCACACGTATGTTACGATCAGTCATCATAGCAGTGAAGTGGCCAATTGAACTGAAATATTTAAGAGAATTACAATCTGACAAGATATAAAATATCTTATTCTACTTACTATAATTGTTCCACTGGGAATGAATCGATATATTCTTGTTTAGAATTAGCCACTTCAGAGTACCATAATTCAATGGCTTCGTTAAATCTTGCCTCGTTATCAATGGGACCACGGAAAGGGATCCAGGCAATATTTTGTCCTGCAAATCGGAATTGGTCAGTGTTGCGACAGGTGTCATGTTTCATATCACATTGTTTCACATTCAAACTGGCCAAATAAGCTAATTCATCATCCCATTGCATGGTGGCCATGCGACAAGCTGGTTTGTGATTAACATCACCACCACCAGCAATGAAATTACGTTTCGCATTGTGACCATCAACAATCAATTGTTTCAAAGAATCTGTCATGGGAACCATGGCAACATCGTGGGGGCAATTAGAAGAAAATTGCTATAAAATTCAAATATTGATACATATATGCAGAATGTATAAGACAATTTATTTATAATTTTTAAAATGTAATCTTACTCCATTATGTCCACAGGCTATATGTGGACCTATTATGCAAAGTGTACTGGAGCAATAATCGGTAGCCGATATAGCGGCAATAACAGCTGCAAGACTAATAACTATTAGAAATTTCCTCATGTTTTGTAGTTTTCAAACAAAGACAACTGATATCAAATTTTTAAAAACACTTTCTTTTTATATGTTTTGATTTTTACTACTAATTGATACTAAAATTGTACATATACATACATATGTATGTATGCAATATTTCCATAATTTATAATATTTGATAAAAAATGTTATTTAAAAAATAGCACATAAATATTGTTTAGTTTATTTTTGCTATATTTTTTTAAATTATTTGTTTCTAATGATATCAATTTATTATATTTTGATAATGAATAAACAAAAAGACCTACCAAAATACATAGACTATATTTTATAACTTTGTAACATAAAATTTTGTTATTCTTTTTTAATTGAGATCATGTATTAAATTCAATTAAGTCATGTATTGTAATCTAAATTAAACCTTATTATTGGTGTTAGATATCTTTTAGTAAACTAGTAACAAATTTAATGGAATTATATCAATTTTACAATACCCGTTTCAATTTATCTTTTCATATAAAATGTCTTTTCTTATAGACAATTTTCGATTTTTTTATAGAAAATATTACTCTTTTTAAGTAATTTTTCTTTTTTTACAGAAATCTTAAAAAAATTCACTTATGAAATTTAAAAAAAAAAATTCTATTTTTAGAAATCGAGCCCTTTTTGCAAAATGGACGTAAGCGACTTGATTTTCGATTTTCGTTTTTTTATAGAAATCGATAATTTAGGTCCATTAGCATCATCTCTAAAAATTTCGTAGCTATAGACCCAATGGTTTCAACTTTACAAGAAAAAGAAAAAAGACGTAAGTACACATTAATTTTCTGTTTATGAATTTTTTAACAGCAAAGTGTCGGTTACGTCTAAATTTTCTTTTAAAATATATTAAATTTATAGAAAAATTAAAGTATTAAATTTGTTTCTGAATGAAATGCCACATATCTGAGTATAATTGTAATAAATTCATGTAATTATCACTATGCCATTGCAATTTATGTGCTAAAATTTATAATTTTCTATAACTTTTTATGAATTTAGTTCATTCTAATTACTAATTACAGTGCATTTATATTATTACCATTTAACCAACTCTTATATTTGGTTGTAAATTTGTGGATTTCGGAAGGCGGACCTGTATATGGACTCTTAATGAATCAATAGTCCCAGAATTTACTTATTTATTCGATATAAGGCGAATTGTACTACCATGTATGGATAATAATGTAGACATGAGGGTGATTTTCAGAATACGGCCTTTAATGAGGGATTAGGTCAATTGTGGACCGAGGTCTATAGAATTTAAACGCGTGATTAGTTTTGAAAACAATTTTTTTTTGTAGAATTTCATCATACTTTCTTAATTTTTGAAAGATTTATTAACTGTAAACTTATTTTCTGTATGAGGGGCATAGAAAACCATCCTAAACAGCATCATTCGTTGCTATACTGATATTTTTAAGACTGCTATGGTCATAAAATCATTGTCTTACAGGGTCCATATATGCAGGCTAGGGTTAAATATTGCCTGTCATTTGTCAAACTTCCCAACATAATTTACAGGTATATATAACCGACTTCTGCAAAATTTTATAGCGATTGCTACATAAACAACATATTTATTAATGTTTCAACTATAATCCGGGAGGTACTTGTATGGGAGCTAAGTGAAATCAAGAACCGATTTTGCCCATTAATAACACAAAACAATATTTGTCATCAATAAGCATTTTTGGAGAATTTCATCACTCTAGCTCATAACGTTCGGAACCTATCCGGTTTTCAACAAAAAGACTGACATACAGACATCCCTAGATGACCTTAAAATCTTATAAGAAAATATTTATTACACTCTTAAATTTCAGATTTATACAAATTATATAAAGATATACACCAAAAAATATTTTTTTAGACAGAGAATTTAGACGTAACCGCCTCAACATTGTTTATATCATAAAAATTTGTCTCGGCAAAAAAGACGTAAGCGACAAAAAAATCGGATATAGCGTCATTATAAAATCGAAACAAACTGCATCCCATAGTTTAGATGTAATAATATTTATTAACGGAGTTTTGGAGTAATGCTATGTTCTACTTCGAAGATAATTAAAAAAAATGCTCTCCTGTAAAATTTAGTTTTTGTCGGTTACGTCTTTTGTGCGAAAAGGGCTAGAAATATTTTTTATACCCATTTATTTATTGTTTTTGTCATTCCGTTTGTAACACGTTGAAATATTCGTCTAAGACCCATAAGAGTATATATATTTTGGGTCCTTTTTAGATTCTAAGACGATCTAGCCATGTCCGTCCATCTATCTGTCCGTCTGTATGTTGAAAACACGATAGAGTCCAAATGGAGCTGGCGAGCTGAAATTTTGGATAGATACTTTTAGTTGATGCAGTTTGTTTGGTATTGGAAATGGGCAATATCGGTCCACGATTTCGACTAGCCCCCATATAAGGCCCCCTTCAGAAAATGACTTTATCGCTCATAACTGGCTAAAAGAAGCATCAATAGCAGTGAAATTCGGTACAAACATGTTTCATTGAAACTTTAATCTCTTTGTAAAATTTTATAAGGATAGGCCAATTATTGACCCTAACCCCCATATAAAGTGTCCTGCAGAAAATGACTTTAACGCTCATAACTGTCTGAAAAAAACATCTATAGCCTTGAAATTCGACAGGAATACATATTTTATAGGAAGTTAAATCTTTTTGTAAAATTTTATAAGGATCGGTAAATAATTGACCCTACCCTCCATATAAGGTCCCCTTCAGAAAATGACTTTAATGCTGATATCTGACCTTAAGAAGCATTGTAAGCAATAAAATTCGATATAAAAAAGTTTTATGGGAACTAAAACTGTTTTCTTCAATTTTATAAGGATGGGTCCATAATTGACCCTACCCCCCATATAAAGTCCCTTTCAGAAAATGAATTTAACGCTCATTACTGACTTAAAAATGCGAGTACATCGGTAAAATTCTACATAAACAAGTTTTGTGCTAGCCAAAAGCTCTATATCAAATATTAAAAGGATCGGTCCTTAATTGAGAACGTATGATCCAAAACCTCTCTACAAAATTTTATGAGGATCAGTCTGTAATTGACACTTCCCCCCTATAAGATCCCCTTCAGAAAATGACTTTAACGCTCATTACTGACTCAAAAATGCGATTACAGCAGTGAAATTATACATAAACAAGTGAAAACTATTTATCAAATTTTATGGTACCTCCTCCATATAAGGTCCCCCTCAGAAAATGACTGTAACGCTCATTACTGACTGTAAAGCTCAAATGCGACTACAGCGATGAAATTTCACATAAACAAATTTTGTATGAGCCTCTACCGTACGTCCCCTATTAAGGTCCCCATTAAATGACTTTAACGCTCATTACTGGCTCAAAAATTTGACATAAAAATATTTGTATGAAATTGACCCCATCCCCAGTATAGATATATGAAATTCAACATAAACAAGTTTTATGGGAACCGAAATTTTCCTTCCGACTTTGATGAAGATGGATCGATAAATGACCACTTCAGTAAAATTACTTTAACTCTCATTAGTTGCTTAAAATTACGATTTAGGCGAAACGAAACATTACGAAACATAATTTATGTACAAAAGTTTATAAAGATCGGTCTATAATACACCCTTATATAATATTCACATCAGAAAATAACTTTAACGCTCATCTATGGCTCAAAAGTTCTTTCAAATTACGGTAGTTTTATAGGAACTGAAATTTTTAAACTGAATTTGAAGAGAATCGGTCGATAACAGATCAAATCCGCATTATCGCTTTCCTTCAGAAAATTACTTTAAACCTCATTACTTAATTAAAGATACGAGTACAGCGATGAAATTCGGTACAAATTAACTCTACCCTTTATATAACTACTCTTACAAAAAAAAAATTCCCCTGATGTTCATATTAATATGACGACATATGATGATAAAATTTAAATGAGAAAATTGCTTTGAGAATATCAAAGTTTATTAATAAGGATGATTTGATGGTGGGTATATAAAATTCGGCATGGCCGAATCTAACACTCTTACTTATTTTTTTTTTTTTTTTTTGTAATTTAAATACCCATAATTGTTTTGTATCAATTAAATTTAAGATATCTTTTATACCTCACTGTGGTTTTAAAAGTCCAGTGAGTTTCGATCTAGATCAATCACAGGAAACCAGCATTGACAAAAATCACTTTCACTCCGCAAATAACACTATGCGACAAAAATAAATACCTGGGAAGTGATACTAGTTTTCTGAAAGGTGGATCCGAGTAGAACAAGAATATGTTTTTGAAATTTGCCAAACACCTCCAAAATCTTGAGTTATGGGTAAAAAACCGGTTTTTCGTACCTTTAGGCACTTACATATAAGTCAGTAATTTAGTTAAATCTGGACCGATTTTAAGTTTCTCCACGGATTTAGAAAGCAGAAGCTGAGGCCTTTATAATGACATACATAACGTTTAAGTAACTTGGAGAGATATGTGTGAATTTCATCAGCAAACATATTTTTTATTTAAGTTTTGCACCGTTGTTCAGGTTTGGAGATGTTTTTTGAAAGTATTTTATATAGGAACCGTACTATTTATTAATTGATTAGAAACCCATGTCTATTCATGAGAAAAACTCAACTTTGTTTTTAAAAATCCGTTAGAAATTGACAACGTTATTGATCTTTTTCTTAATACAAAATTGTTCATAAACTGATTTTCTGAAGGATGCTTTATATGGGGGATAGGGTTAAATATAGGCCGATCCTTGAAAAATTTGGTGTAATGATTTATGTTTATATTAAAGTTATTTATGCTGAATTTCATCGTGATATTAATATTAAGAGGACAAGGTTTGTATGGGGACTAAGGTCAAATACTAAAGATTACAGCAAACTCATTTATAACGATTTTTGTATTGTTTGGACCTTATTTGACCCTAGTGCCCATGCAAATCCTCCTTCACAAAATGACTTGAATTCCATAATTCTCTTAATTACATCAATATCACGATGAAATTCAGAATAAATAACTTTTATATAAATCTAAATATTTCCACCAAATTGTAGAGGATTGGCCCATATTTAGCCCTATCCCCCATATAAAGCATCTTTCGGAAAATCAGTTTTGGAAAAATTTTGTGTTAAGAAAAAGATCAATAACGTCGTCAATTTCTAACGGATTTTTAAAAACAAAATTGAGTTTTTCTCATGAATAGACATGATTTTCTAATCAATTAATAAATAGTACGGTTCCTATATAAAATACTTTCAAAAAACATCTCCAAACTTGAAAAACGGTGCAAAACTTAAATAAAAAATATGTTTGCTGATGAAATTCACACATATCTCTCCAGGTTACTTAAACGTTATATATGTCATTATAAAGGCCTCAGCTTCTGCTTTCTAAATCCGTGGAGAAACTTGAAATCGGTCCAGATTTAACTAAGTTACTGACTTATAAGTGCCTAAAGGTACGAAAAACCGGTTTTTTACCCATAACTAAAGATTTTGGAGGTGTTTGGCAAATTTCAAAAATATATTCTTGTACTACTCCGATTCACCTTTCAGAAAAATAGTATCACTTCCCAGGTATTTCAATTTTCGTTTATTTTGTCTCACTGTGTAATAGATACTTTTGAAAATAGATATAACTATATTAAAGACTTTAGAACAGCGCAGTAATTTAATTAAACCGGAAGTTTTAAGTTTATAAAGTTATTGGTAAACTGTTATTCATAGAAAAACGGAAATAACTGTCTAATACCATTGTACCATTAAAAATAAATATTTACAAGTGTAAAGTAAAAATTTCCATGTAATTTAAAAGTATTGTAAAATAAGAAGGAAATACTTTTCAAAGATTTATTATTAAAATTTGGAAATGGTATATAAGTCCCAAAATTTTAGTGGTTCAATATCAGTTAAACTTTAAAATTAAAACACTAACCACATATCTAAACCAAAAAATCCAACATGAAAAATTGTCTAGCAATTCTTGCGCTTATTACTTTAGGAACCGCAATAACCGCTACGGATTATTGTTCCGAAGACATTTGTAATGCCAAAGGAGCCACTCATGTAGCATGTGATAGCAAAAAAGTGAGTTGAAATGTTAAAATTTTCTAAATTTTGATAATTTTTTATTGAATAACATTTTAGGAATTCTCTTCCTCTTGCCCTAAAGATGCTGAAATGATGGAAATTGATGAATCATTGCAAAAACTTATTGTCGATAAACACAATGAAAAACGTAACACTATTGCTGGGGGTGAATATGATTCCCTTAAGCCAGCCTGTAGAATGGCCACCATAGAATGGGATGATGAATTAGCTTATTTAGCTGAATTTAATGTTTTAAAATGTAAAATGGAACATGATGATTGTCATAATACCAATGATTTTAAATATTCTGGACAAAATCTTGGTGAAATGGGTTTTAGAGGTGAAATTAATCAAACTGAAAGAATATTACAATCTATAGACTTGTGGTATGAAGAGAAAGAACATGTATCACAGTCAATTATTGATGAATATCCTAACGATTATTCGGGACCGTAAGTTTTTTAAATTGTTTATTATTTTAGTGATTTCAAGTTTAATTCTTTTTTTTTAGTGACATTGGCCATTTCACTGTCATGATGGCTGATCGTAATATACGTGTGGGTTGTGCTGCTGCCACTTATTCGGTGTCTGGTGAAAATTATAAAAATTATTTATTGGCTTGCAATTATGCCACCACTAATATGATTGGTTTTGCAATTTATAAAAGTTGTGACAAACCTGCTGCTGATTGTGAATCTGGCACTAATGAATCTTATAAAAATTTGTGTTCTCCTAAGGAATCTTATGATGTTAACCAGTGGTTTTAGATTTCGTTTATGTTAATTTTTTATACACTTTATTTTAAAGAGTTCTTGTAAACTTATTATTGTTTTTTGTTATTTTTTTAAATATTTTTAATAAATTATTTTCATGTTTATATAAAAAAGAAGTATTTTGCGTAAAATTTCTATAAAAAGACATTTTTTCCATTTTAGTTTTAGTTTTATAAAAGAATAGAACTTTTATAAAAATAATCTATAAAAAATTTTTAAAAATTTTATATAAAACGAAAAAATGTCGAAAAATTTTTATGAAAAAAGAAATTTGTATAATTTTTTGTATAAAAATAAAACGAATCGAATATTTTCTTTAAAAAGGTAATTTTTTAATAATTTTCTAAACAAAAGCTAAGTTTTTGATAAGAAGTTTTCTAAAATTTGTTTATAGTTAGTTAGTTTAAAAGAAGGAGGAGGAGGACGTCAACCGCTCCTGTTGTGCGCACTTTTACCAGGACTTCTGGTGGAAATCGAAACCACGACCTCCGTTCTAACAGATTATAACACTAACGACTAACCCACAGAACTTTTCGAAAATTTGTAAAGACAAAAAAAAAACTTTTTAAAAATTTTCTATAAAAAGATAATTTTCACAAAAAATTTAAAATTTTTGAAAATGCAAAAATAAAATTTTTCAAAATTTTCTATAAAAACGGGAAATTTTTAAAAATGTTCTATAAGAAGATCGATTTTTTAACAATTTTTATAAAAAAAGTATTTTTTAAAAATTTTCTATAAAACAAACAATTCGTTGCCAATAGTGAGCTTACCACGTTTGTTAACATTTAGACAACGGATGTGTATAAAATTTAGATTAAGACAATGAATTGTTGCGTTGTCAACATTACATAGTGCTGTCGTACGTATGTATATACTTTGACAACGGATGTTATTGAAAAATTATAAACTCTTTGGTATCAATTTGGTACCAGGCGTGTATATTTCCTTTTCCCTCTGTGTATATATGTATCTGCAATATCCAAAACTCCCCTTTAAAAGAACTCTATAAATTTGTTTTTATGATTCTAGTCTCAATATTACAGACATTAAAAAACAAGTAGGAAAGTATAGTCCGGCATGGCCGACCATATGATACCCTACACCACTGAGTATGTTAAAAATGTGGATTATTTTTAATAACAAAGTATTTAAGTTGTTTACCTTAATTCCGAAATATTTTAACAATTTGCTGAAAAAAGTGATTTTCTAAAATAGGGGTTATATGGGGGCAAGGGTAAATATGGGCCTATCCTTATAATTTTTAGCTTTACGTTTACATTAGAGTTATGTATGCTGGATTTCATCGTGATACTAGTGATTATTAGTGAATTATTGACTTTCAAGTCATTTTCTGAAAGGGACTTTGTATGGGGGCTAGGGTCAAATAAAGTCCAAGTACGAATTACGAAAATCAGTAGTATTATTAGGACGTATATAAAACTAAGTTTTGCCGATTTTTGTAGAGATACCCTCCTCCCTTTTCGGGGGGTATGGGTGCTAGGTGAAATAATGGACCGATTTCAACCATTTTCAATAGGCTTCGTCGTTGGGCCGGAAAACACGTATGGTTCAAATTTCATCAAAATATCTTGAAAATTGCGAAATTGCCTGTACCTTGCGCAAAAGGTTTTCATGGACATCCAGCCGGACAGACGGACGGACGGACATGGCTTAATCGACTCAGAAAGTGATTACATGTAAGTCATCATAACAGCACTTAAAAGTAATGCATAAGGTATGTAGTAGTCTTTGATAAGTAATTACTTGTGTAAGTACAAGTCATCATTAATTTAACAGCATTTCGAATTGATTTATGCGATTTAATCCTTTATTCTGAAAAGGTCCTTATGTACATTAGGATTATAACCAATATTAGACCCTATCACTACGTGATAACAACGAATTGATGATTCAATTTAATCAAACAATAACCTCTATAACCTCAACATTTCCGCAATGGGTGGGAAGTTTTTAAATTTTTAATTCAGATATTAATAAAAACTAAAAAATTATGTTAAAAATTGTTAAAAAAAAATAATAGTAAATATTTATTTAATAGTTTAAACCAACTTGGAAAAGAGCGGGTTCAATGTAATTCTTCTTTTGGTAAAAATTTACATGAAACATTTGTATTTATCTAAAACAAATAATCTTAAAAAACACTTTGACTTTTGAGTATATAAACTTCAAAATTTCATTCAAACAGCATCAGTTAAGTTTTGAAAACTGAAAATCAAACAATTCTCTAAAAAAAAACATGAATAAATTCTTAACAATTTTTTGTTTTGTGACTTTGGCTGCTACTGTCATAGCTACAGATTATTGTAGCAAAAAAATTTGCAATAAAGGCGACACCCATATAGCCTGTGATAACGATGGAGTAAGTGATTACCATTCAATTATAATGATAAATTAAAATATTATATATTTTTTAGGAATTCCATTCAAATTGTCCCGACGATGCCGAAAAGCGTGAAATAAGCGAAACGCTAAAAAAGCTAATTGTCGATGAACACAATGAGAAACGCAACATTATTGCTGGTGGTGGTGAAAAACATCTTAAGGCCGCTTGTCGCATGGCCACCATGGAATGGGATGATGAATTGGCTTCTTTGGCTGAATATAATGTTTTACAATGTAAAATGAAACATGATAAATGTCACAATACCGATGAATTCAAATATTCCGGACAAAATCTTGCCTCATTGGGTTTCACGAAAAGTCCTAATGACACTGCTTTGATTGAAAAATCTATACGATTATGGTATGAGGAGAAAAGTGATGTCAAACAATCCTTTATTGATAAATATCCTAAGGGTTATAAGGGACCGTAAGTTGAAATTTTATGTGTAATTTGTATTGTCTCTAATATACAAAATTTTTAATATTTTAGACAAATTGGTCATTTCACTGTTATGATGGCTGATCGTAATATACGTGTGGGTTGTGCTGCTGCAACTTATTCTGCTTCTGGCAAAAGTAAAGCCTATTTATTAGCTTGTAATTATGCCACTACCAATATGGTTAATTATGCCATCTATAAAAGCTGCGATAAGCCTGCTGCTGATTGTAAATCTGGCACTAATTCTTCCTATGAAAATTTGTGTTCCTCTTCGGAATCATATAATGTTAATAAATTTCCTTAGATCTGCTACATCTTCATTGGTAGCAACTTTGTTATATAAATGTAGAATGTATTTTTGTTGAAATTTTAAAATTTGTTTTTATGTTTATTTTAAAAAATGGTTTAATAAATTCCTAATTATTAAAGAAAAGTTTATTTGAAATTGTTCATTAAAAAAATTTTTACAAATTATCACAAATAGTTTTTGTATTTCAATATTATTATTATCATTTTATAATTTTATATGATCTAGAATCAAAGCTTTTATAAATACAGTCCTCAGAAGTACACTAAATTGTGTGCTATTTGGAACTCAGATTCGGATGAATAAGTGGTACTTTTTAAAACGTCCCTTTTGTATAAATGAATAGTACTTTTTACAAAAGCCGTATTTACAACATTTTGAACATACTTGGTCCCGATTGAATGAGCATATATGTATGTAAATGAGGGAACTTTTTGGTACTTTTCGTTCTTTTGGTACTATTTTTTGTACTTGGTACTTTTTATTGTTTTCTGTAATATTGAACCTAGAAACATAAAATTAAATACACATCATTACAACCTATAAAAGGTAGCATTCTTTTTCGTCTATAAATTGGTATCTCTTTTATTGAAAAAAACAAAAATATAGTGAAAATCTGTACTATAACCTATTGGTACTTTTTGGTTCTTCATATGAATTTTCTATAATTTTCATACGCAGACTAGGAGTCTGGCAAATCTATAACAGTCTACTTTTGGTAATTTTTCTTTCATAAAATTAAACGAATAAATAAAATATATAAGAGTAAATGAGAATCTACAAGAAGGAACATTTTCGTTATTCATTGGTACACACATACAGAAACATACCCAGCAAAAACTGGTAATGGTTTTCAGTTGTAATTATTTACCTAACAACATACTTCTCAATGACTACTACACATCGTCTAGATTACATAGAAGTAATCTAATAAGGTCTTACTAATAATGAGTTATATAACTACTTTCTAATTCACTAGTCATCTTGCCAATGAAGATATAGAAGCTGTATACGTTTTTCAAGCGATTTGCAATGACTACTTTTTCTAATTACTTGTAATCGTTTGTGGTAAGTACTTGCCTCCAATGGCATCATCGTGTTAAAATAATGCTTTAAAATGCTATTGTGTAAGTAATTTTTTTTATTTTAACCCCTTACATGGTAATGAAAGTTTTTACTGGGTATTCATAGAATGAAAAAGTACCAAAAATGGATTTTCCTATGGATTTTTATTAACTTAGGAAACTGTTTATATGTTCTTACATACTCCAGGCTATACATACTTAATTTTATTTTTCTAGGTTCAGTATTATAGAAAATTCCAAATGTAGCTTTTGAAGAAGGAAAAAGTGACATGTACTATTTTTGTCTAAACATACACCAAAAATCTAAATTTTTGATAAATTTTTGAGAGGTTATGTAGGATTTTTACTCATATCTCCGATATTTATGAACCGATTTTGCTGATTTTAAATAGGAAACTTCTCGAAAGCATGTCTGATAGAATTGTTGAAGATTTGGATCCCGAAGATATCGGAGATCTTCAGAAAATTTATTTTAACAAACATACAGACGGAGAGACAGACTGGCAGAAAGACGGACAGACAGACAGACAGACAGATAGACAAACAGACAGACATAGCTTAATCGACTCTGCTATCTATAAGGAAATTACAAACGGAATGACTAACTTATATATACCCTTCTCACGAAGGTGAAATTTGTAAAAACAGATTTCCTTAAAGATGCTTTATATAGAGAATAGGGACAAAATTGAGCCATTTCTCATACAATTTTGTTGCTGGATTTATTTTTATATAAAATTTATTTATGCGCAGTTTTATCATAATTCTAATGTTTATAAATAAATTGTGAACGTGAGTTATTTGCTGTATGAGAAGTCTCATCATAGCGATAATTAAGGTTTATAAAAAATACATATATAACATTATTATAAGCTTCACAGCACTTTTCGGAGAACAGACGTTGCGACGGACTGACATCACTAAATTTACTTACAAAAAGTCTATGAGTAGATCCTTCACAATATAATATATTGTAATAAATTTCATTTGAATTATTACAAAGTTTACCTGGACCGACAGACAGCAAAATCGAATGAGAAAATTATTCTGATTGGTACACATTGAATAGTAGGTGCCACGCCCTCTTATGTTAGTAAGCCAATTTTTAGAACAAATATTAATATATGAAGCAAAGGAAAACGATATGAAGAAATTATTTTAAGTATGTATCTATATTAAGGAACATTAAAAGTAATTAATATTTTTTTTTAAATTCAACATTCATTTAGGTAACCTATAACCTTGTAAACTTCCATATTTCTATTTACTAAAAAATATTTTTTTTATTTTAGATGTTAATAAACACGAAACTAAAACAAAATCCAAAATAGTAGTAAATATTTATTTAGTAGTAGTAAACAAAATTTTGATAAAAATAAAGGTACAATGTAATAGTTTGTTGTAAAAGGTTAAATTTATTTGAAACACATGTGTTTATTTAAAACTCCCAATTTAAGTATATAAACTTTAAAAATTCAACCAAACAGCATCAGTTAAGATTTGAAAATTTAAAGAAACAAACAAAACTAAAAACATGAATAAGTTCTTAGCAGTATTTTGTTTAGTGACTTTGGCTGGCTCTGTGATAGCTAAGGATTATTGTAACAAAAATCTTTGTTTTAATGGCAACAAACATATTGCCTGTGATAATGATGGTGTAAGTAAATTAATTTTGAATACATATAAAAAAAATTAGATAAATAAATCTTTTATTTACAGAAATTCTATTCCACTTGTCCCAACGATGCCGAAAAACGTGAAATGACTGACACACTGAAAAAGATGATAGTCGAAGAACACAATGAGAAACGTAACATTGTTGCTGGTGGTGATGTTAAACATCTTAAGTCTGCCTGTCGCATGGCCACCATGGAATGGGATGATGAATTGGCTTCTTTGGCCGAATATAATGTTTTACAATGTAAAATGAAACACGATAAATGTCACAATACCCAGGAGTTTAAATATTCGGGACAAAATCTTGGTGCAATTGGTTTTAGAGGCAATGTTAATGATACTGCTAGCATACAAAAATCTATTAAAATGTGGTTTGAGGAGAAAAAAGATGTCAAACAATCATTTATTGATAAATATCCTAAGGGATATAAGGGACCGTAAGTTAAAACTTTAATTGGCTATTAAATTTAGTTTTCATATAAAAATTTAATATTTCAGAAAAATTGGTCATTTCACTGTTATGGTTGCTGATCGTAATATACGTGTGGGTTGTGCTGCTGCCATTTACTCTGTTTCGGGCAAAGATTATAAAAACTATTTGTTTGCTTGCAATTATGCTACCACTAATATGATTGGTTTTTCCATCTACAAAAGCTGCAATAAACCTGCTGCTAATTGTAAATCTGGCACTAATCCAAACTACAAAAATTTGTGCTCCACTTCGGAATCTTATAATGTTAATAAATTTCCTTAGATTTGTTATGTTTGATTGACAGAAAATTTGTTATGCTAATTATTGTTTGAAATTTCGTAATTTTAATATTAATTTTAATGAAAGGCTTAATAAAATTTTTAAGAATTAATAAAAATTATTATAAATGAGTTATCATTATTTTTATCAACTGCTGGTAATATGACTATATTTCTAACAGAAATATAAGAAGCTGTGGATTTGTCTATGGATGTTCTATAGTGGTCTCGACTACAGACTATTCTATAGTCGCGACTATTCTACAGCATCACCTGTAGGCTATTCTATAGTCGCGACTATAGACTATTCTATAGTCTCGCTTATAGACTATTCAATAGTCCCGACTATAGTCTATTCTATAGTCTCGACTATAGACTATTCTATAGTCTCGAATATAGACTACTCTATAGTCTCGACTATAGACTCTTCTAGAGTCTCGATTATAAACTATTCTATAATCTCGACTATTTTATTGTATCCATTATAGACTATTCTATAGTATTGACTATAGACTATTCTATAGTTTTTACTATAGACTATTCTATAGTCTTGACTATAGACTATTCTATAGTCTTGACTATAGACTATTCTAGAGCCTTGACTATAGACTATTCTATAGTCTTGACTATAGACTATTACATAGTCTTGTCTATAGACTATTCTATAGTCTTGACTATAGACTATTCTATAGTCTCGACTATAGACTGTTCTATAGTCTCGACTATAGACTGTTCTGTAGTCTCGACTATAGACTGTTCTATAGTGTTGACTATAGACTATTCTATAGTCTTGACTATAGACTATTCTATAGTCAATACTATAGACTATTCTATAGTCAATACTATAGACTATTACATAGCCTTGACTATAGGCTATTCTATAGTCTAGACTGTAGATTTTCTATAGCCTTTGCTATAGACTATTCTATAGTCTTGACTATTGTATAATCTCGACTATAGACTAGTCTATATAGTGGAGACTATAGCCTCGAATACAGAATAGTCTATAGTCTCTACTATAGATTGTTCTATAGTCTCGACTATAGACTGTTCTATAGTCTTGACTATAGACTGTTCTATAGTCTCGACTATAGACTGTTCTATAGTCTTGACTATAGACTGTTCTATAGTCTCGACTATAGACTGTTCTATAGTCTCGACTATAGACTGTTCTATAGTCTCGACTATAGACTGTTCTATAGTCTCGACTATAAACTGTTCTATAGTCTCGACTATAGACTGTTCTATAGTCTCGACTATAGACTGTTCTATAGTCTCGACTATAGACTGTTCTATAGTCTCGACTATAGACTGTTCTATAGTCTCGACTATAGACTGTTCTATAGTCTCGACTATAGACTGTTCTATAGTCTCGACTATAGACTGTTCTATAGTCCCGACTATAGACTGTTCTATAGTCTCGACTATAGACTGTTCTATAGTCTCGACTATAGACTGTTCTATAGGTTCGACTATAGACTGTTCTGTAGTCTCGACTATAGACTGTTCTGTACTGTCGACAATAGACTGTTCAATAGTCTTGACTATAGAATATGGAGACTACAAAATAGACTATCGTCAAGACTATAGAATAGTCTATAGTCGATACTATAGTCGAGGCTATAGAATTGCCTATAGTTGAGACTACTCTATAGTCTGTTCTACGAATACAGATTATTTTATAGTCTCAACTTAATAGCCAATTGACTTGCATTCAAACTAGAGCTGGCTTATCAGACACTGCAACGTATGGTCATCGTCACTCTGATCATTAAACTTGATCATAATATATAATTTCTAATTGCATTTTAAAGGACAAATAAATATGAGTAAAAATATTTAAGTTGACAAAAAATACTAAAAAAAAGTAAAATAGTACTGAATTTTCAATATACTATAAAATCAGTTAAGCTACTAAATTTAGAAATACAGATTGTAAACTACCAGCATTTAATAAAAGCGTAAAGTATACTATTTGTAAAGAATTTTTTTTAATTAACAAGTTTATTAAAAATTTGTTTAAAATTAACAATAAAATTACAAAATATCAACAATTACAATTCTTCGCATAACAAAGTTTGTGCCAAATACCAGAAATAACAAATCTAAGGATATTTATTAACATTATAAGATTCCGATGAGGAACACAAATTTTCATAGTTTGGATTAGTGCCAGATTTACAATCATCAGCCGACTTATCGCAGCTTTTATAGATGGCGAAACCAATCATATTGGTGGCAGCATAATTGCAAGCAAACAAATAATTTTTATAATCTTTGCCCGACACAGAGTAAGTAGCAGCAGCACAACCCACACGTATATTACGATCAGCCATCATAACAGTGAAGTGACCAATTTTTCTAAAATATAAAATTTTTATGTCAAAAGTAACTAAACTTATATCCAATAAAAATTTCAACTTACGGTCCCTTATAACCCTTAGGATATTTATCTATAATCGATTGTTTGACATCCTTTTTCTCTTCAAACCACATTTCAATAGATTTTTGTATGTTAGCAGTATCATTAGCATTGCCTCTAAAACCCATTTCACCAAGATTTTGTCCTGAATATTTAAAGTCTTCAGTATTGTGACATTTATCGTGATTCATTTTACATTGTAAAACATTATATTCAGCCAAAGAAGCCAATTCATCATCCCATTCCATGGTGGCCATACGACAGGCAGGCTTAAGATGTTTAACATCACCACCAGCAACAATATTACGTTTCTCATTGTGTGCTTCGACTATCAACTTTTTCAGCGATTCGGTCATTTCACGTTTTTCCGCATCATCAGGACAAGTGGAATGGAATTTCTATAAAGATTTTTATAAGAAATTAATCTCATTCTTATATATTTAAAATCAATTTACTTACTCCATCATTATCACAGGCAATATGTTTGTTACCATTATGGCAAAGGTTTTTGTTACAATATTCCTTAGCTAACACAGAGCCAGCCAAAGTCACTAAACAGAAAACTGCTAAAAACTTATTCATGTTATTAGTTTTTTGTCTAATCTTCGATTTTTTAAGTTTTAAAATTAAACTGATGCTGTTTGGTTGAATTTTCGAAGTTTTTATACTTTAATTTGGTTTATTTACTACTATTTTTTTAATAAAACATCTGTTTCATATAACCTTAACCTTTTACAACTAATTTTTACATTCTTTATTTTTTTCCAAAATTTTGTTATAAGCTATTAAATAAATATTTACACTTTTTTGGATTTTGTTATTGTTTAGTGTTTATTAACCCTTAAATATTTTGATTTTACATTTTTATATTAATGTAAACCAATAATATGTTTTTCATTAAACAGGAACACTGCAGCTTACAAGGTTACAAATTATGTTTGGTTAACATAAATGAATATTGATATAGAAAAAATTAATAATTTGTTTTCAAGTTCTTTAATGTAGAAACTTTGGATAATGTTCGTGAGACTGTCTGTCCGAGTAAAACTTCTTATCAAACTACAGGTCGCAATTATAAGATATTACGGACCAACAAAATTTTTTTAAAATTCGAAACTTAGAGACTAAAGTGTACATTTTTAAAGGATTTAGCATCGTTAAATTCTAATCTCAGAATTCCTCTATCACACCAGGTTTATAAGATATCTTGTCCTAAAATCTAAAAAAATCTCTTATATTGCCATATTTAATACCTTATAAAACTGGGAAGACACGTTCTTGAAACAACTAAATTCCCCATAAAAACTATATATCCATTATTTGGAATTTAAAAACGAAATTTTATAGATATGTAATATTTTATTGTAACAACGTATAACCAAATCCCCGAAAAAAATATATCAATCAGCTCTGAATCACTTTTTTGGGACGATTTAAGGATGCCCGTCCATGTAAAAATTAAGTGAAATTTGGTACTGTATGACGATCTGAAAATGGTTGAAAATGACAAATAATTTCACCAAGTCATCCATACAATTAGCCGAGTCACTGTGAATTGGCATATTAGTAGACTAGACTATAAACTAAACTATAGACTAGACTATAGACTAGACTATAGACTAGACTATAGACTAGACTATAGACTAGACTATAGACTAGACTATAGACTAGACTATAGACTAGACTATAGACTAGACTATAGACTAGACTATAGACTAGACTATAGACTAGACTATAGACTAGACTATAGACTTGACTATAGACTAGACTATAGACTAGACTATAGACTAGACTATAGACTAGACTATAGACTAGACTATAGACTAGACTATAGACTAGACTATAGACTAGACTATAGACTAGACTATAGACTAGACTATAGACTAGACTATAGACTGGACTATAGACTGGACTATAGACTAGACTATAGACTAGACTATAAACAACAGGAAAAAGAAAAACTATTGGTGGAATAACAATATTGCCTTGTTGAGGAAAACATGTTTAAGAGCCAAAAGACTCTACCAGAGATGTAAGTCTATTGGCGATACTATAGACTAGACTATGGACAAGACTATAGGCTAGACTATAGGCTATAGGTGATACTGTAGGGTAAACTATAGACTAGATTGTAGACTAAACTATAAACTAGACTGGGCTATAGACTAGACTGTAGACTAGACTATAGCCAAGTCTAGTATATAGTTTAGTCTACAGTGTAGTCTATAGTATCACCTATAGCCTATAGTGTAGTTCATAGTCTTGTCCATAGTCTAGTCTATAGTATTTATAGTTTGGTATATAGTTTTATCTATAGTCTAGTCTATAGTCTAGACTAAACTATAAACTAAACAAGAGACTGAACTATTGACTAGACTATAGAAGAGACTATAGTCTAGAGTCTAAACTATAAATTAGACTAGGTATTCATAATAAACAATGCTATAGACTCGACTATAGATACATTTCTATTATCCTTGTTAAATACAGATTCTAGACCATATATAATTTGTAATATGATATTGAAAACAACTATTTCATTAAAAGTTATAAATTTATTTAAAGAATTTTAAAATAGGAACAAAAAAATTTTAAATTTCAACAAAATTAATGCAGTTATATAACAAAAATTTAGTACTAAGTAAGAATAACATATCTAAGGAAATGTATTAACCTTATATGATTCCGAAGAGGAGCACAAATTTTCGTACGATGGATTAGTGCCCGACTGACAGTCAACAGCAGGCGTATCGCAGCTTTTGTAGATAGCATAATCAACCATACTAATAGAGGCATAATTGCAAGCAAACAAATAAGCTTTATTTTTGCCAGAAACAGTGTAAGTGGCGGCAGCACAACCCACACGTGTATTACGATCCGCCACCATACCAGTGAAATGGGTAATAGTTCTAAAATATTAATTGAACTTGTAAAAATAATTAAAATTATAAATAATATTTATACTTACGGTCCCTTATAACCCTTAGGAAACTTATCAATAATGGATTGTGAGACATCGCTTTTCTCTTCATACCATAATCTAATAGATTTTTGAATAATAGCAGTATCATTAGGACTTTTTGTGAAACCCAATGAGGCAAGATTTTGTCCGGAATATTTGAACTTATCAGTATTGTGACATTTATCGTGTTTCATTTTACATTGTAAAACATTAAGTGCAGCCAAAGAAGCCAATTCATCATCCCATTCTATGGTGGCCATACGGCAAGCGGGCTTAAGATGTTTAACATTACCACCAGCAACAATGTTACGTTTTTCATTGTGTGCTTCGATGATTAACTTTTTCAGTGATTCAGTCATTTCGCGCTTTTCGGCATCATCGGGACAGGTGGAATAGAATTTCTGTAATAGAAAGGCTTTTAATCTTAATTTTTTTTTTATAATTAAAATTCTGTTGCTTACTCCATCATTATCACAGGCAATATGTTTGTCACCATTATAACAAATTTTATCGCTACAATAATCCGTGGCTATCACAGAGACGGTCAAAGTAACCAAACAAAAAACTATTAAGAATTTATTCATGTTTTTAGTTTTTTTTTTTTTTTTCTAGAACTGTTTGGTTTTGAAATTTCAAAACTTAACTGATGCTGTTTGGTTGTAATTTTTAAGTTTATATACAAAAATTTCGAGGTTTTGGTATTATTTGTTTTAAATAAATACATGTGTTTCGGGTAACCTTAACCTTTTAGAACAATTTTTTTTTTTTTTTAATTTTAAATTTTTTTAAAGTTTTGTTTAAATAATTGAAAGAATATTTACTAATTACATATTATTTGAATTTTATTTACTTTTTTTTTTGTTACTTCATTTAGCGGTTGTTGAAATCAAAATCCTGAAGAACCCAGATATATAAGGGACAAAAATGTAGAACAATTTTAATATTTTTAATTTAAAATTGTGAAAAAAAATATTTTTCCAAATAAAATCAGAATTTTATTAACAGATTTTACATGGGAAACTTCGAAAGCTTGGATTCAAAAGATATCTAGGGTCTTCAAAAAATCTTTCAAATCATCACCATCACCTTAAATTTACGACATTCATACATACATCCATTTTAGAGTGTAAAAATTTGTTGTAAAAGATAAATTTTGTATGAAACACGTGTATTTGTTTACTTCAAACAAATAACTGTAAATTACTTTCAATTTCAGTATATAAACTTAAAAATTTCATTCAAACAACCTCAGTTGAGTTTTGAAAAGTCAAAAACAACCCAGTTCTCAAGAAAAATTACAAAAAACATGAACAAATTCTTAATAGTTTTTTGTTCTGCGACTTTGGTTGCCGCTGTGATAGCAACGGATTATTGTAGCAATAAAATCTGTTATAATGATGACAAACATATTGCCTGTGATAATGATGGAGTAAGTAACTCGATTTCAAAAACAAAATTGCAAAATTATAAACTTTTTTCTTACAGAAATTCTATTCCACTTGTCCCAAAGATGCTGCAAAGCGAGAAATGACTGAATCGCTGAAAAAGTTGATAGTCAAGGCGCACAATGAGAAACGTAACATTGTTGCTGGTGGTGATGTTAAACATCTTAAGCCTGCCTGTCGTATGGCCACCATGGAATGGGATGATGAATTAGCTTCTTTGGCTGAACTTAATGTTTTACAATGTAAAATGAATCACGATGATTGTCACAATACCGATAAATTCAAATATTCCGGACAAAATCTTAACTCATTGGGTTTCACTCAAAGCCCTAATGATACTGCTATTATTGAAAAATCTATTAGATTATGGTATTGGGAGAAGAGCGATGTCTCACAAGCTATTATTGATAAATTTCCTAAGGGCTATAAGGGACCGTAAGTAGAACTATTAATATTAAGAATTGTAATAATTTTCTATGTATTTCAGAAATATTGCTCATTTCACTATTATGATGGCAGATCGTAATACACGTGTAGGTTGTGCTGCTGCCACTTACACTGTTTCTGGCAAAAATAAAGCTTATTTATTTGCTTGCAATTATGCCACCGTTAGTATGGTTAATTATGCCATCTATAAAAGCTGTGATAAGCCTGCTGTTAAGTGTCAGTCGGGCACTAATCCATCTTATAAAAATTTGTGTTCTACCTCGGAATCATATAAGGTTAATACATTTCCTTAGATGTGTTGGTTTTCTTGGAAACTAACTTTGTTATATTTTGTTATTTTTATTAAAATTTATTATTTGTTAAGCTTTAAAACATTTTTAATAGATTTATAATTATTGAAGAAAAAATTACGAAAATCCGAAATTGTTTACAATTACAAAATCTTAACGAAATTGAATTTGTAGTATTATTAGGTTTCTTTAAAGATATATCACTCGAAAAAAATCATTGCAATAAAAAGGGGCTTCATATGTTTTAAAACAATTTACTACTTGTTAAATAACATTTAAACAAATCATGTAGTTTTAAAAACGAAACAAGATTTACATAGAAAAATATATCATCTAAATTTAAATACTGAAATAAATTTCAGCATTTCTTATCGATCGACATTTGTATTTAAATAGTACCAAATAGTAAACAATGATGTCATAACAAGTTTAAATTTGCATTGCAACTGTACTGTGTTCACACGTTTATTATGATAAGAGTTTCAATCATAAATTTAAATTCTTAATGATAACAGGGGTACTTATTGGCGACAAGAGGGTTATGACGGAAATTTCGCTGTTTTTGAAATGAGTAATACAAAACATTGCTGTGATTTAAACTGTTTCAGATAAGTTTATTTATAAACATCTTTCTTTATTTGTTAGTGTGAACGTGTAATTTAGTTCTTTTGAACATCATTTAATGGGAAACCCCAGCTTTTCTGTTCTAGTTCTGTTCTAGTTCTGTTCTATTTCTGTTCTAGTTCTGTTCTAGTTCTGTTCTAGTTCTGTTCTAGTTCTGTTCTAGTTCTGTTCTAGTTCTGTTCTAGTTCTGTTCTAGTTCTGTTCTAGTTCCGTTCTAGTTCTGTTCTAGTTCTGTTCTAGTTCTGTTCTAGTTCTGTTCTAGTTCTGTTCTAGTTCTGTTCTAGTTCTGTTCTAGTTCTGTTCTAGTTCTGTTCTAGTTCTGTTCTAGTTCTGTTCTAGTTCTGTTCTAGTTCTGTTCTAGTTCTGTTCTAGTTATGTTCTAGTTCTGTTCTAGTTCTGTTCTAGTTCTGTTCTAGTTCTATTCTAGTTCTGTTCTAGTTCTGTTCTAGTTCTGTTCTAGTTCTGTTCTAGTTCTGCTCTAGTTCTGTTCTAGTTCTGTTCTAGTTCTGTTCTAGTTCTGCTGTGTTCACACGTTTGTTATGATAAGAGTTTCAATCATAAATTTAAATTCTTAATGATAACAGGGGTACTTATTGGCGACAAGAGGATTGGTTACGACTGAAATTTGGCTGTTTTTGAAATGAGTAATACAAAACATTGCTCTGATTTAAACTCTTTCAGATATGTTTATTCTAGTTCTGTTCTAGTTCTGTTCTAGTTCTGTTCTAGTTCTGTTCTAGTTCTGTTCTAGTTCTGTTCTAGTTCTGTTCTAGTTCTGTTCTAGTTCTGTTCTAGTTCTGTTCTAGTTCTGTTCTAGTTCTGTTCTAGTTCTGTTCTAGTTCTAGTTCTGTTCTAGTTCTGTTCTAGTTCTGTTCTAGTTCTAGTTCTGTTCTAGTTCTGTGCTAGTTCTGTTCTAGTTCTGTTTTAGTTCTGTTCTAGTTCTGTTCTAGTTCTATTTTAGTTCTGTTCTAGTTCTCTTCTAGTTCTGTTCAGTTCTGTTCTTGTTCTTTTCTAGTTCTGTTCTATATATAAAAATGTTATGTTCGTTGGTGTGAACATTCAATTTACTTCTTTTGAACTAAATAATTTGTTGGGAAACCCTAGCTTGTTTTAAAGTTGAACAGTTAAGTACTGTTTAAATATTTTTTAAATATTTTTTTAACAAAATACTTTATACCGAAATCAATTAGCAACGGTCGTTGGTCCATAGATTGCAATTTATTTATTAAAAATTGCAAACTATTTTACAACGATTTAGTATAAAACACAAAGTACTAGAGAAAACTGAATTCAAAAACTATAACCGTTAAAAATTAATAAAATTTTAAAATAAAATGAAAGGATGTATAAAATTAATTTTTCTTGTGACTTTTGTCAATGCTGTGATAGCTACAGATTATTGCAGCAAAGACATTTGTAAAGAAGGTGACACCCATGTTGCCTGTAATAATGAAGGCGTAAGTTCAATAATTTCAAGTATATGGGATATAACGAAATTAATTATTAACTGTTTTCATATCAGAAATTCTCCCCCAACTGTCCCAGTGATGCCGAACTTAGAGAAATAACTGAGCCATTAAAAAACTTAATTGTCCAGACTCATAATGAGAAACGTAATACTATTGCGGCTGGTGGTGGTGATCTTAAGCCGGTTTGTCGCATGGCCACCATGGAATGGGATGAAGAATTAGCTTCTCTGGCTAAACTAAACGTCTTAAAATGTGAAATGGAACACGATAAATGTCATAACACCGATGCTTTCAAGCATTCGGGACAAAATCTTGCAGATATAGGCTTTTTAGAAACTGCTAATGATACCGACAGCATACTGCAATCTATTGATTTATGGTTCAATGAAAAAAAGAATGTTAAACAGAATATTATTGATAAATTTCCGAGGGATTATGCGGGACCGTATGTTAAAAATGAGTTTATTTTGCTACTAATTTAGTCTCTTTTAAAAATCCAATTTATTATTTCAGAATGATAGGTCATTTCACAGCATTGGCGTCTGATCGTAATATACGAGTAGGTTGTGCTGCCTCCACTTACACTGTAGCTGGCAAAGATTTTAAAGATTATTTGTTTGCTTGCAATTATGCCGCCACCAATATGGTTGATTTCCCCATCTATAAAAGCTGCGATAAACCTGCGGCTGAGTGTCAGTCTGGCACTAATCCATCTTACGAAAATTTGTGTTCCACCTCGGAATCATATGATGTTAATAAATATTATTAGGGATATAAATATTGAAAAATTCCCTATTTATCAAAAGAATTCCTTTATACAGAATATTTTTCATAAATTTTCTTTTTATAGAAAATGTTCCATAATTTTTTTATTTATAAAAAATTTTAACATTTATTTATAGAAAATGTAAATTACACTTGTCGTATGATTTGAACCGATTTTCTTGAAATTTTCACAGTGTCTTACCGTATGTCTGGAACCTTTTGTTTTGGAATCCCAAGTAGGCGAGGTGCCACGCCCACATACAGAACAAGTATTAAAAGTCGCATATCTGAGAAGCTGCAAAAATAAGAGCCCTCAAATTTTGTATGAACAAGTTTGACAACCATATGAACCATGTTGATAAAATGGGCAGCCTAGCTATAGTGGGCGTGACACCTACCATATAAAGAAAATCTTTAATTAGTATATCTGAGAAAATACAACAGATTGAGTCCTCAAATTTATTCGTAGCCAGTTTAGTATCAACGTCAATATTTTGGACAAAAATGGGCGGACTTTCATAAGGGAAGCTTGATACCTCCCATATGAATTAAATACAAAAATTGGTTTATCTGACAAACTATTAGAGCTAAAATTCTGAAAATTTTGACAAAAAAAATTTGAAAATTTTCTTTAAAAAGAAAATTTCTAAAAACATTTTCTATAATAAGAAAATTTAGGGAAAATTTTCTATAAAAAGAAGATTTATTAAAAATGTGTTAAAAAAGAAAATTTCTGGAAAATTTTCTATAGAAAGGAAAATTTTTTGGACATTTTTTATAGAAAGAAAAAAAATTATTAAAAGAAAATTTCTGGAAATTTTTCATTAAAAGAGAATTTCTGGATAGTTTTTTATAAAAAGAAATTTTCAGAAATTTTTTTATAAAACAGAAAATTTCCAGAATTTTTTTTATAAAAAAGGAAATTTCTGGACTTTTTTCTATAAAAAAGAAAATTTCTGAAAAAGAAAATTTCAGCAAATTTTTTTATAAAAAATAAAATTTCTGGAAATTTTGTTTACATAAAATTTTTAGAAAATTTTGTATAAAAAGAAAATTTCTAAAAAATTTTCTATAAAAAAAATTCTAAAAAATTTTTTATAAAAAAAAATTCTAAAAAATTTTTGGAACTTTTTCTATAAAAAAAATTTCTGAAAAATTTTGAATAAAAAAGAAAATTTATGGAAAATTTTCTATAAAAAGAAAATATGTACAACATTTTCTATAAAAAGATAATATGTAGAACATTTTCTGTAAAAAGTTTTTATTGAACCTTTTTTTTAAATAAAGTTATGAAAAATTTTCTATAAAAAGAAAATTTATGGAAAATTTTCATTAAAAAAAATTATGAAAAATTTTCTATAAAAATAGTATTTATGGAAAATTTTCTATTAAAAAAAATATAAAAAATTTTCCATAAAAAGAAAATTTGTGAAAAATTTTCTATAAAAAGAAAATTTGTGAAAAATTTTCTATAAAAAGAAAATTTGTGAAAAATTTTCTATAAAAAGAAAATTTGTGAAAAATTTTCTATAAAAAGAAAATTTGTGAAAAATTTTCTATAAAAAGAAAATTTGTGAAAAATTTTCTATAAAAAGAAAATTTATGAAAAATTTTCTATAAAAAGAAAATTTATGAAAAATTTTCTATAAAAAGAAAATTTATGCAAAATTTTCTATAAAAAGAAAATTTATGCAAAATTTTCTATAAAAAGAAAATTTATGAAAAATTTTCTATAAAAAGAAAATGTATGAAAAATTTTCTATAAAAAGAAAATTTATGAAAAATTTTCTATAAAAGAAAATTTATGAAAAATTTTCTATAAAAAGAAAATTTATAGAAAATTTTCTGTAAAAAGAAAATTTATAGAAAATTTTCTGTTAAAAGAAAATTTATAGAAAATTTTCTGTTAAAAGAAAATTTATAGAAAATTTTCTGTTAAAAGAAAATTTATAGAAAATTTTCTATTAAAGAAAATTTATAGAAAATTTTCTATTAAAAGAAAATTTATAAAAAATTGTCTATAAAAAGATAATTTATAGAAAATTTTCTATAAAAAAAATTTATGAAAAAAAGAAATTTTTTAGAAAATTTTCTATTAAAAGAAAATTTATAGAAAATTTTCTATTAAAAGAAAATTTATAGAAAATTTTCTATTAAAAGAAAATTTATAGAAATTTTCTATAAAAAGGAAATTTATAAAAAAAAAAAAGAAAATTTATAGAAAATTTTCTATTAAAAGATAATTTATGAAAAATTTTCTATTAAAAGAAAATTTATAGGAAATTTTCATTAAAAAAATTCTATCAAAAATTTTCTATAAAAGAAACTTTATCGAAAAATTGTTGAAAATTGAATAAATATAACTAAAAATTATCGAGTAAATATAACTAGAAAAATCGAGTGCTAACTGTAAAAGTGTTCATAAATTTGACATATTTTTCATTAACTTATTTATTTACTTTACTCTCGCAGATGATATAATATTCTTTTATAAAAAAATAAACATGTTTTTGAATAAAAATTGATACAAATATAATTTAAACAAAAATAAGAATTGACGTTTATTTGAACATTTAAAAAAATGTTATTTATCTTTTTATTATGTCATCTTAGAAACAAATATTAATTAAAATCTGTATCTTTTTCCTAAAAACCTACTTTGATTTTTAATTAGACCGTTTACTGGAAACTGTAATAAAGATAAATTTGCCAACTACTGTGGTAGTTAAATAATAGTAAATAGTTTTAGTAGACGTACGCAGTATGTTAAATAAATATTTTATGTCTGTGAAAAATAATAATAATTTTTAAACATTTATTTGCACAAATGTTTTCATCTTTAAAAACAATGTATTTTATTGATTTAAAGTTTATGTATTTGAAATTATTATTTTAATGCACGTTCACATTGATCTTTTATTACAAACAATAGTTACGAACCAGACGATATTGGTTGAAGTTCATTGTCGATTCAATAAAATGGTGTTTATTTAAAATTATTGTTGCTCGAACAACAGCTGAACTAATGCAAAATTGTAACACTGTGTAACCGAAAGTTATTGCATTAGTGAAATTACATTTTTGTTTTATTTTTAAAATCTGGGTTTAAATATCCGTGTAATTCACTAATTGTTACACTGTTGGGTTCAGTGCTTTTATTTAGATTTTTACCATAAAAAGTGCATTTTTCAAAGAATATTTTTATTTAAATTAAATTTCGAAATACCCATGAATCATTTTGAATTTGTCGCAGATCACGTTTCTAGAAAAACTATAAGTACAGTTATGGTTTACATACATACATACATATATTTTGTCTAATAAATAACTAATTTTTTTACATTTTATAATTAACAATCGAAAGTAACAACAATATTTGCAAATGCAAATATTACACAATACAAAATGTCTGGAGTAATTGTTGCACTTACAATTTGACAGACATATTTGTTAAGATTTTGAAGACATATGTTTCAGTAATTAGCTTTAAACGCCTTTTCTAAAATTCCTATAAAATATTGCTGTAATATTTGAAAAATTATCAGTTAATCGGAAATAGTTTAAACTTAAAGTTCTGTTAGCAGTTACAATAAAACAATGAATAATTTCGCAATTTTAATGTGTGTAGTAGCGGCAATTGCTTTTGCCTCGGGTACGGATTATTGCTCGGATTCACTCTGCAGTGCTGGTGTTACCCATATAGCTTGCGGTAATAGTGGTGTAAGTAAATCTAGCAGATACCCAATTTCTACGATTCCCGGTATATTAAGGAAATAAAAAATTAGAAAATTTGTGGTAAATGTACTTTTACAGAAAATTTTCTAAAAATTTTCTTTTTATAGATAATTTTTAACAAATTTTCTTTTTAGGAAAATTGAATTTTCAAATTTCAATTTTCTAACTAACTAACTAACTAACTAACTAACTAACTAACTAACTACTAACTAACTAACTAACTAACTAACTAACTAACTAACTAACTAACTAACTAACTAACTAACTACTAACTAACTACTAACTAACTAACTAACTAACTAACTAACTAACTAACTACTAACTAACTAACTAACTAACTAACTAACTAACTAACTAACTAACTAACTAACTAACTAACTAACTAACTAACTACTAACTAACTAACTAACTAACTAACTAACTAACTAACTAACTAACTAACTAACTACTACTAACTAACTAACTAACTAACTAACTAACTAACTAACTAACTAACTAACTAACTAACTAACTAACTAACTAACTAACTAACTAACTAACTAACTAACTAACTAACTAACTAACTAACTAACTAACTAACTAACTAACTAACTAACTAACTAACTAACTAACTAACTAACTAACTAACTAACTAACTAACTAACTAACTACTAACTAACTAACTAACTAACTAACTAACTAACTAACTAACTAACTAACTAACTAACTAACTAACTAACTAACTAACTAACTAACTAACTAACTACTAACTAACTAACTAACTAACTAACTACTAACTAACTAACTAACTAACTAACTAACTAACTAACTAACTAACTAACTAACTAACTAACTAACTAACTAACTAACTAACTAACTAACTAACTAACTAACTAACTACTAACTAACTAACTAACTAACTAACTAACTAACTAACTAACTAACTAACTAACTAACTAACTAACTAACTAACTACTAACTAACTAACTAACTAACTAACTAACTAACTAACTAACTAACTAACTAACTAACTACTAACTAACTAACTAACTAACTAACTAACTAACTAACTAACTAACTAACTACTAACTAACTAACTAACTAACTAACTAACTAACTAACTAACTAACTAACTAACTAACTAACTAACTAACTAACTAACTAACTAACTAACTAACTACTACTAACTAACTAACTAACTAACTAACTACTAACTAACTAACTAACTAACTAACTAACTACTAACTAACTAACTAACTAACTAACTAACTAACTAACTAACTAAATTAATTTTTAAAGAAAATTTTCGATGAATTAATTTTTATAGAAAATTTTCGATAGACTAATTTTTGAAGACAATTTTCGATAAATAAATTTTTAAAAAAAATTTTCGATGAATTAATTTTTATAAAAAATTTTCGATAATTAATTTTTATAGAAAATTTTCGATAATTGATTTTTATAGAAAATTTCGATAATTGATTTTTATAGAAAATTTTCGATAATTGATTTTTATAGAAAATTTTCGATAATTGATTTTTATAGAAAATTTTCGATAATTGATTTTTATAGAAAATTTTCGATAATTAATTTTTATAGAAAATTTTCGATAATTATTTTTTATATAAAACTTTCGATAATCAATTTTTATAGAAAATTGTCGATAATAATTTTTGTAGATAAATTGAGTTTTATAGAAAATTTTCGATTTAGGCAATTTTGAATAGACAACTTTTGATAAAGTTGTCTCTATTAAAAAATATCGATGAATTTTTTAATAAAGAAAAAAATATCAATGAGTTTTTCGTTTTATAGAAAAATTTGAATAGATTTTTCTTTATATAGAAAAATTTCGAAAGATTTCTCTTTTTATAGAAAAATTTCATTTTGTTTCTATACAAATTTTGAAAAATTCCTCTTTTGTTTCTTCTCCTTTGTGTAGAAAATTTTCGATAAATTAGCTTTTAATATAAAATATTCGATAAATTTCTCATTTTATAGAAAAATTGCGATAAATTTTTAATTTTTACAAATACTTTTCGATAACTTTTCACTTTATCAGAAAATTTTCTATAAATATACTTTTTATATAGAAAATTTTCGATAGATTCTCCTATTTTCGATAAATGTTTTTATAATAGAGAAAATTTTCGATAAATTTCTCATTTTTATATTTCTGATAAAGATCTCATTTCGAAAATTTCCCTATTTTTTAAAATTTTTCAACAAAAAATTATTCTAGAACTTTGCTGATACTTGTCCCGATGATGCTGCCTTAGTCAATATTGATGATAATTTGAAGAATGTCATTGTTTCAACCCACAATGAGAAACGTAATTTTATTGCTGGTGGTGGTGAATCTAAGCTAAGTCCTGCCTGTCGTATGGCCACCATGGAATGGGATGATGAATTAGCTGCCATTGCAGCTTTTAATGTTAAACAATGTGCTATGGCTCACGATAAATGTCGCAACTCTGATACCTTCCATTATTCTGGACAAAATTTAGCTTGGATGGGTTTCTTTGGTCAAGCAAATGATGCTTCTATGTTGCAACAGGCAGTGAATATGTGGTATGGTGAGGTAGCTGATAGTAAAATGGAATATATTAATTCATATCCCAATAACTATAATGGACCGTAAGTAGCTGGTAAAATAAATATTTAAGAGATCAAGTTTACACATATATTTTCTTAATTTCAGAACTATTGGCCACTTTACCGTCATGGTAGCTGATCGTAATATTCGTGTGGGTTGTGCTGCTTCCACTTACTCTGTAACTGATCAACCTTATAAGGCTTATTTAGTTGCTTGCAACTATGCCACGACTAATATGATTAATTTCCCCATTTATACCAGTTGCGATAAGGCTGCTAGTTCATGTACCACAGGCGTTAATGAGGATTATCCCAATTTGTGTTCTTCATCGGAGGTTTATGAGGTTAACAAATGGTTTTAAGGGACTATTTTGTTTTAACATAGATTTTAAATTTAACGGAAAACATTAAAGCAAATAAATTGAAAAGCTAGAGTTTATATTTAATTTGGGGAGCCGGTAGAACGGTATTAACGTTCGGAAAAATTATTAGATTGTTATGCTTAAAACTTTTGATCTTGATTTTATTCAGAAATGCTGATCTTCTCAGGGTAAATTGAAATAGGCCTACAGAACCAAACACATTAAACTCTCCTAAAATTCTTCTAAGTATCATTTATTTAGTAGCGTCTAAAAGTATTTCTACATAATATTTAACTAAAATAAACATTGATGTCGACTAAATTCAAAATATATGTACATATTTGAACTAAGTAAGTATTTGCCAAAATATTTAAAACAAAAATATAATTTAAGAAGTCAAAACAGCTGTATCAATATTGATAAAAAAAAATATGTATGGAATTTAATTGCAAAAAAACAAATTGCTAATTAAATTTCCTATATAAAAGGTTCAACATAAGTGAAAAATTCAACAGTTGGGTATTGAACTCAAAGTTAGAAAAACTCATCTTAAATCTTCTCAAAAATGAATCGTTTTGTAGCTCTCTTATGCATGGTTGCAGCAGTATCTGCCACCGATTACTGTTCCAACTCTATCTGTAATAATGGTGCTAGACATATTGCTTGTGGACACAGTGGAGTAAGTTATACAAGAAATTTTTAACATAATTTAAATTTATATTAACAATTTTAAAATTCTATAATACTTTTAGCAATTTGCTCCCTCCTGCCCTGCCGATGCTGAAATGGTTAATATTGACGATAACTTGAAACAAGTTTTAGTTGATGCCCATAACGAAAAACGTAACTTTATTGCTGGTGGTGGTGATGCCAGACACAGTCCTGCCTGTCGTATGGCCACCATGGAATGGGATGATGAATTGGCTGCCATTGCTGCTCTTAATGTTAAACAATGTCAAATGAATCATGACAGATGCCGTAACACTGCTGCCTTCAAATATGCTGGACAAAATCTTGCTTGGATGGGTTTCTTTGGTGATGTTGATCATGCTGAAAAATTGAAGGAATCCGTTGAAATGTGGTACTCTGAAGTTAAGGACAGTCAACAGGCTTATATTGATTCTTATCCTAATGGCTACTCGGGACCGTAAGTTTCAATAATATAATTTTATTCCAGTTTATATTTCAATTTTCCTTCTTTTCATATTTAGTGCTATTGGTCACTTCACTGTTATGATGGCTGATCGTAACATTCGTGTAGGTTGTGCTGCTTCCATGTACACTGAGGGTGGTTTTAAGAATTACCTGGTTGCTTGCAACTATGCCACCACCAACATGATCAACTTCCCCATCTATGCTAGTTGCCAACAGGCTGGTACCTCTTGCACCACTGGCACCAATCCCCAATATCCTAACTTGTGTTCCGCCTCTGAAGAATATGCTGTCAACAAATGGTTCTAAATGAAGTGCTAATATCTTTGATTTATATTAAATAAAAGATTTTGAAAATTAAACTGTTGTCTATTATGTCCCATATATTCCTTAAAAAACCCGATATTTTTGTCAAAACACTTTAAAAAACGAAAATCGCTTGCAACTTCGTTAACACACATTTAAATGAAAAAGGTAGCAGATTTTGTGATGGCCCAAAGGTCTGTGTGGTGGTTTGAATGTTATGTTATCCATAAAGTTCACTTCTTTGTCGGGGTATGTTTCGAGGTTTACTCTGTTCATACTTGACCTACCACAGTGAGTCCCCTTAGTGTAATGTTTGGCTTATTGGAGATGATAAGCTTCGGTCTACCAAAAACGCCACTAAGTGCTCTTGTCAAAGCAACAGGTCGTGAAAGTCTTCAGATATGATTTTAAGATTACCTTCCATTCCCTAACGGCATTGCTGTGGTCGGAGATTGAATGGTTCCAGTACTTGAGCTGATATAGGGTATGGTGTTTGGCTTGAAATTTACATAGAGGCAGTATTGACACTGTGGTTGATGAATACCACCGCATGATTAGATCGTCAAAACACTCCAACAACATATTATTGATTAAACTTTCCATTTGTATGGGGTCTAGATGAAATCGAGAACCGATATTGCTTATTTTCAAAACAATCCTTAAAATATCAGCTCTCTAGTTCCTCATATGAAGACTCTGTCGTGCTTTTAACAGAAAGGCGTATGAACAGACGGACACGGCTAGATCGTGTGGCCAATCGACCACAAATGGGTGTGTTCTTGAAGACAGTCGTGTGCTGCGTAAAAATATACGGGTATCGGGAACGAGTTCCCTAATTTCAGAGGAACACATTCCATTATAGTATCTATAGAAGAGTGAAATACACCCCACGTTGCGACGGTGCTCCAGTGAATCAAAAGAGTTGGATACGCTACTGTCACCGATAAGTACCTTCGCCATCTCTTGTACACGGTCGAGTAGCTCCGGCCCATAAATGGACCATTTTCGGTCGGATATAAGTGGTGTAAATAGTAAAAAGATCAGATGGAGTGAAGTATGTCTTACACCGTTTCAAAAAACCAAAACACTGGAATGCTTCTTTCGACAGTTGGAAAATGTGTTTAGTCCATCGTACATCGCACTGCCCAGAACATCAAAAGTTTCTGATTCCTTAATATTAACACCACCCATAAATATAAATAAAACAACATTATCTGCCATACGTTTATGTGTTAAAAAACAACATTGAGCCTTGCGGGCGTTAAAATCGACTCTGTTAACACGACCCCATTCAGAGATTTTTATCAAGTCGTGATTTAGCGATTCATTCATACTGCGCCTCATTGCCCCAATCTCTAGAGGGCTTGACCTATAATTGTATGAATAGGAATGGCAGATATTACTGTCATCGGCAAAAGAGTAGATAGAGTTTGAAGTTTGACATAGAAGGTCATTTATGAAGACAAGAAATAGGGTAGCAGAAAGAACGGAGCCTTGCGGTACCCCTGAATTAATCTTGAACTCGTTTGATGAAAATAACAGACACATTATTTAAGGTATACATTTGTGCCTGCAGGTAATGGTAATGTCTTTTCAATAACAAATACATATCATCTGCATTACTTATAAGGTAAGTAATGAATTTCTTTAAGTAATGAATTTCTTTAAACCTGGTATAAAAGTATTTATTTTCGGCTTTGTTTGTTCACTTTATTCGAATGCGAGTTAACAGCTGTGTTTTACACAAAGAGAAGACAAAACTACTTACTCTATTACCGCTTTGTAAGCGAACGTGATAAGTACTTATTTAACTACCTATTTGTAAGCGAGCGTGGCTAGTGCTTATCTTTAATGACATCATCGCGATACGAGTGTTTAAATGAGAATTTTGACTTTCAAGTAATTTTCTGAATGGGACTTTGTATGGGGCTAGAGTCAAATGATTTTCGTAATGATCGGGCCATTACGAAAATCGGCAGTATCATTTAAACTTATACAAAACCAAGATTTGCAGATTTTTTATTAGATTCTACCACGTTTAAAATAATTATTAAAAAAGCATTATTCGGGGGGTACGGTTGTATAGGGGCTAATAATGGACCGATTTCAACCTATTGAAAATGGTTCGTCCTTGAGCCAAAAGAAGAGTATTTGTTAAATTTCATCAAATCATCTAGAAAATTGGGACTTGTAGCGTGCGCACAATGTTTACAAACGCATAATACCTTCCCCACTATAGTGGTGTAGGGCATAAAAATATACATACTACATATACACAGAGGGAAAAAGAAATATGACACCAAAGAGTTTATAATTTTTCAATAACATCCGTTGTCAAAGTATATACATACATACGACAACTCTGTGCAATGTTGTCAAAGCAACGTTGTCAACATTGCAACAATTCGTTGTCGAAATCTAAATTTTATACACATTCGTTGTCTAAATGTTAACAAACGTGGTAAGTTCATTATTGGCAACGGATTGTTTTTCAATAGTGAGCTTACAACGTTTGTTAACATTTAAACAACGGATGTGTATAAAATTTAGATTTCGACAACGAATTGTTGCAATGTTGTCAACATTACATAGTGTTGTCGTACGTATGTATATACTTTGACAACGGATGGTATTGAAAAACTATAAACAATTTGGTGTCAATTTGGTACCAGGCGTGTATATTTCTTTATCCCTATGTGTACACTTTTGAGAACCTCTGATCAATATTTCAATGTGTTTGCGAACGAATCATCTTTTTTGAAGTTTGCAAAACAATTCTCTTTTTTTCATTATAAACAAATATTTGTAGAAATGAAATCTGTTATTATTTTTCGTTGGAAATTAGTAAATAAAATTTATTATTTTATACACTTGTTCGTAGTAAAAAACAAATGTTTTTGTATAATAAGCTTACAACATTTGATTTTTAAGAAAAAAATTATAAAATATTGTTGAAATACTGAAAATTTTGCTAGTTGATTATAAGTTATCTAAAGTTAAAGTTGTCTTAGCAGTTACAATGAAAATTAAAAACTTAAAAAAACTTTACATTCGCTTCGTCCACCGATTACTGCTCCGATTCATTATGTGATACTGGTCTCACTCACACATGTAGCTTCTAACATCTAAGTGTAAGTTGGTGTAAAAATATTAAAAAAAAAACTTTGGACACAGTTTATATAAATTTTCGATTAAAACTGCATCGGGATATAAATAATTAATTCTGATGGCAATAACTAATTAGTATGAGAAAATAGAGTATAACATTATATAGTGAAATTAAAAATTTTATTTCACTAACTTTAGAAAGTTTATGCTTATGGTAAAAGATCGTTATACACTAATAGGTTGCTCGACTGTTATTTACACTTCAGCAGATATTTTGTTTATTTGATTGATTTCAAACAAAAAACAGTTTTTTATAAAAAAAACCAATTTATAAAAAATTTTCTACAAAAAAAATCTTCTTATAGAAAATTTTCGTAATTTTTTTTTTTCTAGCAATTTTTGGATAAATTTTCTTTTTATAGAAAATTTTCAAAATATTTTGCTTTTATAAAAAATTTCTTTTTATAGAAAATTCTCGATCAATTTTAATTTTTTTAGAAAAATGTCAATAAAAACTCCACTAATAACATTTTAAGGTTTTTAATTATCTATTTTTAAAAAACACTTTCGATTATTTTCAGTTTGTTATTGAAAATAGTGGAATTTTTTGGAAAACATAACTATTGAAAATTAATCTAATGATTTAATAAATTATATAATAATAAAAATATGTTTATTTATAATCATAAATAAATATATCTTTTAAGAAATGCGTTAATGCAAAATATTTGCATTAAATCTAAAAATCTAAAATTAAATTTAAAAAAATTAATAAAAATAACAAAAACTAAAAACGTCATATTACTATAATAAAAAAACACTTGTTTAAATAATAAACTAGACAATCCCCCAAAAAATTTTGGTATATAAGAAACAGCAATTAGGCGAATAATTTAACAGTTGGTTTTTTAAACTCCTAGTTAGAAAACATATACTAAATCTTCTCAAAAATGAATCGTTTTGTAGCCGTTTTATGCATGGTTGCAGCAGTATCTGCCACTGATTACTGCTCCAACTCTATCTGCAATAATGGTGCTAGACATATTGCTTGTGGACATAGTGGAGTAAGTATTAGAAGAAATTTAAAAAAAATATATATTAATAAATTTCTAATTTTTTAATTCCCATAGCAATTTGCTCCCTCCTGCCCTTCCGATGCTGAAATGGTTAACATTGACGATAACTTGAAACAAGTTTTAGTTGATGCCCACAATGAGAAACGTAATTTCATTGCTGGTGGTGGTGATGCCAGACACAGTCCTGCCTGTCGTATGGCCACCATGGAATGGGATGATGAATTGGCTGCCATTGCTGCTCTTAATGTTAAACAATGTCAAATGAATCATGATAGATGCCGCAACACTGATGCCTTCAAATATGCTGGACAAAATCTTGCCTGGATGGGTTTCTTTGGTGATGTTGATCATGCTGAAAAATTGAAGGAATCCGTTGAAATGTGGTACTCTGAGGTTAAGGACAGTCAACAGGCTTATATTGATTCTTATCCTAATGGTTATTCAGGACCGTAAGTATTAAAATATAATTTCACTCTTTTTCTTTTTCACATAATTTTTCTTTTCCGTTTAGTGCTATTGGTCATTTCACTGTCATGATGGCTGATCGTAACATTCGTGTGGGTTGTGCTGCTTCCATGTACACTGAGGGTGGTTTTAAGAATTACTTGGTTGCTTGCAACTATGCCACCACCAACATGATCAACTTCCCCATCTATGCTAGTTGCCAACAGGCTGGTACCTCTTGCACCACTGGCACCAATCCCCAATATCCCAACTTGTGTTCCGCCTCTGAAGAATATGCTGTCAACAAATGGTTCTAAATGAAGTGCTTATTTCTTTGATTTGTGTTAAATAAAAAATTTTGAAAATTGAATTCTTGTCTATCTTTTTCGTATTAGTATTTCAACCAAAATCATAAAAGTTCGTCTTTC